TTCTGAACTTATTGTGAGTCTCCAACACTACAACAATCAACTAATTATCTAATTGGTGGCAATCAATTAAATAATACAATGGGTATGCAAAATTAATCTAGATCTGCAAGAATTAAACTAAAATATTAGTTTTAAATTTAAAATAAATAAACAATAGGGTTCATCTTTATCCAATACGTACAAAAGCAGATATAGCCTATCATATTAATATTTAAATTATAATAAAAATAATAGAAAAATATCACCAAGATCATGAAAGAATACAAAAGGCGTTGATCTTCAAGTCTAAAGTTGAATTCTACAAACTCTTGATGTAATTGAACTTTAATTTATTGTTAGGGCTTGATCTCCTCTCTCAAAATATAGTAGTTGGCTCCTCGCTCTTAATGAATTTGATAAAACAATTGTGTATGAAGAGGCAATTTAGGATTTTCTTCATTGCTGCCCTTGTCTTGTATTTATATGATGAAATTATGTTAAAATTCACGTGCAAATTACCTTCCAAAAGAGTTTTAATTGAATAAGGAAAGTTGCATTCGCGTGCGCATGACTTTGTCCCTGCACATCATTCAATATTTTAATCATAACTTTCTCTTTCAATGTCCGATTGAAGTGAATCAAAGTGTGTTGAAAATCTAATTCAAAGAGCTACAATTCCTCTTGAGATACAACGTTTGCTAAAAAAAAGGGTCTCAAATTGACCAAAAATCTTGAAGATATTTTATGTGACTAGAAGTCGATTTATGGTAATATTCTAATCATATCTCATTCCTTTTTTTACTTTATTTTGCATTCAATTGACTCCTATATCTTTGAAGTATTTTTTGCGGTTCAAATCGACCATTGGATATGTACACTTTGGTCTCCCATACTTTGGATTCTTTTATTTTTGCTCCTCTTTTGTTCCTTTCTTCCAATTCCACCAATTTGCATTGAGTTCAACCTAACAAACATAATTAACACATAATTAAGTTATAACTCATTCATATCACTACAAATACTTCAATTTATTGGCCTGGATAAGTGTACAAAATGAACTTATCAATGGTGTTGGTGTATCTAGAGCTAGTAGCGATGTATTTGGTAACAGCGGCGATGATGGTCATGATGATAGTGCTTTGGTTGGGTAGGATGGGATGGGATAGGAGTGGGGGAATTTTATGACCAAGTATTTGGTTGATTATAACCAATAATTTTGTTAATTTGTGTTGAATAAATAACTTGATCTGAAAAATGTGATTGCGATTTACATTTTACTAAATTGTGACTGATAAATAATTTGTGATCAATTAATTTAATAATTTGCTACCACAAAATATGTTTCGACTTGTAAAATTTGTGATTTGTGACCAATGAACAATATGTGATCTATAAATTTTTTGATTTGTGACCATGAATTAATTTGTGACTTATAAAAGTTTTGATTTTTGATCAAAAAATAATTTGTAATCAATTAATTTGATAGTTTCTGACCAAATTGAATAGAATTGTGACCTAAATATATCTAATTATTATTTTATAAATAAATTTTAATAGTGTTTGATTTTTAAAGTTTTAAACTTTATCTATTAGTTTTGAAATGGATCATAATTAATTTCTTAGATATAAAACTTTCCCTTGATTATCTCCCTATTTTGCTGGCATTTTTTAATATAAGATAAACGGTTTTATTTTTGATATCTTATATAATCATCATTTTTAAATTTAGGTGGACATCAATATTCAGAGTTTTCCCATGTTTACATCCGGGGTGTCAACCTCGGATGTACAAAAGAAATCCCATATTCATATGACTTGTTTACATAGCTAAAAGTTTGCTATTTTTTATTACGGGTTGAATTAAGGTTGCTTATTGAATCAGCTGAAATACAATAAATTATAGCACGCATTCACTTTATCATTAACTTCCATATTCAACGTATGCAGAAATTATATATTCTTTGAAGATGAGCATGTGAAAGGAAACATTAATTCATAGAAATAAAATGAATGTTAGCATTAATTGAGAATAAAAATCATAAACATAAGGAGCTGAATAAATACTATATTTTTTTGCTCAATTCACATTTTCATGCAAATATCTATTACAGGTAAAAATCCAAACAAAATTCAAAATCAAATTGGTAATAAAGTTCTTTATTTCCATAAAGTTTTTTTGCATGACAAAATCATATGCTGACTTTTACTATTTTCATATCGAAAGGAATCTTGAAATTTCCATTCTACATAGTGCCAGACCCATAAAATCAGACCGTATTCAAAATATCTTCATTTTTCTTATCACGATTCATGAAGGTAGGTATTATTATGATCTAATGTTCTGTCGTATTTTAGTTAGTTATATAGTTATATCAGTTGCTAGAAAATTTTTAGCAGTTTTTTCTTTACCGATTGACACATGTTTACTTAGAATGAGAGGCCAATCAATGGTTGGTAGGGATTGTTATGCTCAGAACAAGGCTCTTGATAAGACAATTTGCCTTGCCGTTCTAAGAGTTGTATTATGAAGTATCGTTGTTTGGTAGAAGTGGTGTCCCATGAATGCACACTTTGGCTAATTTGATTCAATTGAGATAAACATGCGGCACTTTGTATTGTTCAAGAAAAATTAATTGAATTAGCTCACTTTCTATTGGTTATACATCAATTATCCAACTTTTTTGATTGGAATGTCATCTCATATGTGCATCTAATTTTTCCTCTAAATTGTTTAGATATTATGAATAGTTTTGTAATTGCTATGAAAAGAGAGAAAAGAAGAAGAGAGAATGAAAGTCAATAAATTTTTGTGTATTTTATTAAGAACAAAAGTCGTATATTTATAAGAATTGAGGATACAACGGTAATAATTTCTAGGGATGTACGGGGTACAATTGTCATTCACTAATAAATTTACCATTTACAACACTCCCCCTTAAATGACACATTACAAAATATCTGTCTTGTTAAAACATTGTTTGACAAAAATTCAATGGAACAAAAAATCAAACGAAGAAAAAAAGTACAGTTATTTTAAAGTAAAAATATAAATGATGTCTCATTAAAACCTTATTAGAAAAATCCAATAAGACAAAATCTTGACTAAGAAAAAGAGTAAACCCACTCCCCCTGATGAAAATCATTGAAGATTTTTAAGTTGATGCATTCCAATCTTGTAAACCAATTTTTTGAATGTAGATGTTGACAATGCTTTTGTAAATAAATCAGTCACATTATCACTTGAGCGAATTCGTTGAATATCAATATCGTCATTCTTCTAACGCTCATGTGTATGAAAGAATTTTGGAGAAATGTGCTTCTTCTTTTCACCTTTGATATAGTCTCATTTGAGTTGTACAATACAAGCTGCATTGTCTTTCTATAAAATTTAGGGATTGAAAAAGTCCTCGCCCCTTAAAGAGAAAAAAGAATAAAATAAAAAAATAAACGGGGCGGGGTTCGGGTGGGACAGGCCCCAGTTCTCTACCATTACTAATAAAATTGTTGAACTATCTTTTGTTAAAATTACCCCGTATGATACTTGGGTATGATAGGTCATATTTCTCAACCATACACATTCTTGGTTTGTTTCACGGATTGCAATAATTGCAGAATAATTTAAGATTGTTGCTATTAAGGATTGCTTCACAGATTTCTATGATATAGCTGTTCCTCCACGTATAAACACATATCCTGTTTGTGAGTTAGCTTTATATGGATCAAAGAGATAGCTTGCATATGCATATCACACTAAAGCAGATTCTCAATCAAATCAATAGTACCCTTCATGTAACGAAAATATGTTTACCACCATTCCAATATTTTTGACTTGATGTAGAGCTATATCTTGCGAGAAGATTTACAAAAAAGTTATGTCAAGTCGAGTACAGTTTACAACATAAGTTAATACTCCAATTGCAATGAGATATGGTATTTCAGGACCAAGAACCTTTTCTCTATCTTCAAGTGGACGAAATTGATCATTTTTTACATCAAGTGATCAAACAATCATAGATAATGCCAATGGATGTGCATTATTCATATAAAAATGTTTTAAAACTTTTTCTGTATATGTGATTGATAAACAAATAATCGGGGTTTTCTAAAATCTTTCTTTTCAAATTAATTTTTCAAATAATCAGCAATTTTGTTGAGCTTTTCAGGAGTTTCAATTAAATTTAAATCATCAACATAAGCCACTACAACAAAACTATGATTTTGCGACAAGAATTTTTGCGACATACAAAAAGTTGTTGCAATAAATGACTTAACGCGACACATTTTTAAAGTTTGTCATGAAGATTGTGATGAAAAAAATATGTACCAAAAACTATAAGACGACATAAAAAGTTGTTGTGAAATGTGAGATATTGCGACAAATAATAAAGAATGTCGCCGAAAATATGAGGGAAGCAAGGCGCCAAAATATTTTTGGTGGGAAATTTATGGCGACAAACCTTTTTTTCTTGCAACAAAATGCTTGTGATGCAATAGGGTCTCTTTTTGGCGATAAAAGAAATCTGTTGCTAAAAATTCTATAGTTGGAGGAAAAAAGGACTACAAGAAAATAACTTTTTTGCAACGGACAAAAAATATTGTAGTAGATTTTTTACAATGCTCACCCATATACGTAGAATTTAATATTCTCGTAGAGTTGAAGGATACTGCAACATGCAATGCATGTCGCAAAAGCCATCAAATGTACGTTGTTGTAAAGTTTTTACGATGTATCTTATCCGTTGATTTTATTTTATTTTGTAACATTCTTTGCTTATTGTCTTAACTTTTTTTTTCTAGCATTTTTTTTTTGTAATAAGTGCTTGTTTTTTTGTCTAGCTAAATTTTAATGTGTAATACAAATTTTTAAAATTTTTAATTATTTTTTATCAAGAGCAAAATTTTTATAATAAAAGCTGTATAAATTTTTTTTAAAAATTTATTCCCAATAAAATTAAGAAACATGCATTGGACGATTAACCTTTCAATCAAATAATAACTTACAAAAATAGAAATACTAGGTCGAACCAATCCATAAAAGAAAATAAATGTCTCAACAATTAAAGCAAATAAATAAATAAATCATAATTCATATATTATCAGTAGGCGGTGGCATGCTAAACATTGTTGTTGGTTCAGCTTGTTGTGGAGACATGCCGACTTAATTCGATACGAACTGATGCATTAGCGCCTCAAAATGAGAAATCTTGGCACGCATATCCAATAATTCTTGCTCCTGCTTTTGTATTTGCTCTCGAAGGCCTATTGATTCAGTATCAACCGATGTCAAATGAGTAGAGTGGCTTGAGGCAGGTTTTGGACCATGTCCAAGTCCTCTAATGTAACCTCTGGATTTTCCTAAAACTTCTTGCATAATCTCAAGTTCAGTGGGGGCCTCAGATCCCTCTGAAATTGGTTGCTCTTTAATTTGAAGCATCTTCTCCTATATATAAGTAAAGAAAAATGAGAGAATACATGTTAATAACATAATATATATAAAATGTCAATAACAACGAATAAATTCTTAATATACTTACATATTTTATTTGTGCTTCATCGTTTACCCACCCTTTCTTCTGACTGTAATGAGTCTCATAATAAAGTTATATTTCTCCTTGTGCATTGTCTTTAGTAATTGATCTCTGTTTGAAATAATATATATCAGGTTATACAAATATATTTGTCTTCATAAAACAAAAGAAAGTATTACCTTTTCTTGAAGACGTGCAACAAATGATTTTGATTCACTACAATGATTATATTTAATGCAGTTGTGGCTTGCTAAATTACGTGTAGATAATGCCTGTAATCAATTTATATGTAAATATAATTAACTCATTATAATTTATCATTTTTAATTATATTAATTATTTTAAGATAACGTCTAAATTACATTATTCTTAATATTTACAAGTATATGCAATTTTAATAAAAGTTACCTGAAATTTAGGGGTAGACCAATATTGACACAACCAGTCCCAATCAACTTGCTTTATGTCAGTTGGGCAGTTCTTCATTACATCATCTAATGTTTTTCCATTAAAATATTTCTCTTTAAGTCTACATCTATAATCACGATATCTTCTCGCTAAAGTATCGTTCACACATTTATGGACGTGCTCAACTGTCAAATCAAGCTTGAATTTTGCCTATCAAAAAAGAAATGTGTATATTATTTATTTAAATATGGGAAACTAATAACTATTCTACAAAATTTTGTAAAAATGAATTTGTTTATGACTTACCAAAACTCGATCATACAATTTATTTTTCTCTTCATAGGGTATGTCGATCCACCTTTTGCAACAAATTGGAGCAAAGGATCGAACAACGTAGCCACATTCACTAGCCAAACATGCTTGCTGATTTCCAATAGCTCTTCCCAGTTTTTTAGAAATCTCCAACTATATTTTTCCAGCTGCACTAACATTGTCATCAGTGCCCTTACCTCTTGTAGGACCACGTCCCTTCCTCTTCAGAGAATGAGAATCTATGAAATAAATTACTCAAAGGATGAGAATATATATACAAAAAAAGGAGATTCTGTCAATTAAATGTATACATTATGATGATTTTATATTAGAAACATAAAGATAAATTATTACCGTTGGAATTGAGGATCGTCTCATGTGTCAATGTGGTTGCTTGTGATGAATTAAGTTGAAGCTGGGGCTGAGATAATGGGGTGGGAACCCGTAGAGATTGAGGTAATGGAGTAGGAACTTGAACATTACTAGTCTTTGACAATGAGGAAGAGATATTAGCTTGAAGAGTAGTATGGGTTAATAGACCCTTGCATGATGCCTTTGATGAGAAAACATCTGAAGGTGGCTCATAAGATGTAGTAAAAACTCTATTTTTCTTGCCAATTCTTGTTCGAGAAGCCATTATCTACCAAGAAAAAATCCAAAAAAAAAAAAAAGAGATAGAGGTATCATTTTTAACTAAAACAATGGGTCCCCATTGACGAGCTCATCTAGCTAAAAGATCTGACTAACCCATAGATATCTTCAAGAATGGTGAGGAAATTATATTACACATCCTAAATATATTTCAACTATAAGCTGTACATGACATGTTTAATGAACTAAAATTTGTGACAATATGGCCGTTGATATATATATATATACATGTGGTCTCAAAAACATTTTTTTAGGTATTTAGGTTTGATTATAAACAGTAATAGAGGAATTTAAGAAGATGTAATGCAGAGGATTAGTGCAAGTTGGATAAAATAGAGTTTTGCGTGACACAAAGATAACTGTAAGCTTAAACAATAATTTTGTGTGATTTCAAAAATATTGTTTATCATGGAGGTTTATGTCCCTCGTAAATCTAGCCTCAAATGATCCTACGTCTTCCTTTAATTTTCTTACTAGAAACACAGTTGTAACGTAGTATGATCATAATGGAAATGATGATGCTTATACAGACGTGGTCATATTAATATGTATAATATAAGGAATAAGAATATAAGGCAATATGGCCATTTATATATATATATATATAATCCTTTTATCAGGCACTTGGCCAAGCGAGCAGCTCTTCAAAAACCAATAAGTATTCTGCCTAATGTAAAACGATCGGTTTATATGTCTATTGAGCCAAATGATATTTAAGGACAACATAAATAAACTCCAAACAAATTTGGAAAATTGAAGAGATCCACAAAAATTCCTTTAATCAGGCATTTGGCCAAGTGGGAAACATTTCAAAAACAAATAAATATTAAGTATGCCAAACTATCTTTTTTATATGTATATTGGGCCGAATGAAGGTTAACGACAATAGTAAAAATTCCAAACATATTTAAAAAATAGGCTGCTAATTCTTAATCAACTTTTAAATTTTAAAGTCAACACTTCTTTCTTTATTTCTCAAATGTGGTTCGTAAAACCACAAAATACAATTTTTTCATATTAACTCAATTTATTTCAAACTATTTATTTCACAACTATTTTAACTCAAATTTTCATATTCGGTTGGCAAATATGTATACAAAACCACAAAATACAGCAACTGCTATCAGGTTCCTTATCATCTTAGCAAGGTCGAAATTTTCATAAGCTCAAATTCTCTATTTCCAGCTTGAAACAACAACAGTCTAACACCAATTCTATATTTTCCAAATATATCAAACTTCATTCTAGTAAATATCCGAATGATGGATCAGATTCTCAGGGAATTGAGGCCCCGATTTGTCCATATAGCTAGACAAACCGAATGATGGATCATATTCTCAGGGAATGGATCTAAAGTATATAAATCAATGAATTGTTGTAAAATATGGGATGAGAAAAAATGGATATAAACGTACCTCCGTCGTGAATAAGTATATCAGCAATCTTTGACAAATGACCAATAGAACTTTGGAATGAATCAACATGAAATCAAGAATTGCAAATATATTAGATTAAGAAACCCACAAAAAAAAAAGAACACATAAAAAGAATCATTAGATTGGATCGTTCTTGAATGAAAATACCTACGCTATAGAGAACTAAAAAATGAGAATGTGGAGTAAAAAATGAGAAATACATCTTATAAAGAGATAAAGATGTTGACAAAAAAAAAGAGGGAACTAGAAATTTTCCCTCCAAATACAAGAGCCAAAATTGAAAACAAAATCTTGTGCACAATTAAATTTAGTTATTCTTAGGAAAAAGGAAAATTTATCTCCCCCAAAAAAGAAAAAGAAATATTAAAAGATTATAACCATTTGGAGAAGAAAACCGTCATTAACTAAAATTAATATATTGTTTCGTGCAAAAAAATGGTGAAGTTGTGCACAAAAAGTCAAAAATCTGTATTTTAAATAATTAAATATTAATAAATAATTTTGTTAAATAAAAAGCCAAAAAAATTAATATATTAATAACTCAAGGACCGTTTGTAAGACTTTACCATAAATATATTTGATATTTGAATATTAATAAAAAATTGAGAATAATTATCATATCCCTTTTGTAAGACTTTACCATAGATGATAAGGTGATAAGATTGAAATTGAATTAGCTAGGTATTCACTATATAAATAATTATCATATTCCTTTAAAATATACATGACCAGGTCAACAAATTAACTGTAGCATATTTAATTCTTAGCCATGACATAATTGTTAAATGCAACAAATCGCTTCCGCACAACAAAATGTAGTCAGAAGCCTTACATATAATAATGGTTTCAAAAATTAATTCCTGTGTAATCCGTTTGGCACAACTATTTATTTCACTAAATATTAATTAGTTTTTATGTGTTTCATGGCATATACATGTTACTCAAAATTCAAACTCAAGATCTTTATACACTCTTATATGACAAGTACTTGTTTCGTCTAAAAATATAAATTAAATAATATTTAATTAAATTTTGCCTTTGAAGAAAACACGTTTAATATTTAAATACAAAAGGATACTATGTGCTGGAAGAGTATATGTTCAAGTCCATTGAATCCGAATCTTTGTCATGTGCTGGTTTTGAGAGGCACAGCTTACGTTTTCGATTTCTATTTGACGATCTAACCTTTAGTAATTTAAGGCCTATTAATTAGATCAGCTTAACTTAATTTTAATTTATTTTTGACAAACGAACCTACAGTAATTGAAGGCCTATTTGTTAGATCAGGTTAATTAAAAATTGTAGATCATGCTCGCTAAAGGTACACTCAAAATGATGGTACATGACAATTTGTAAACTCTTGATGCATGTTTGGAGGAACTTATTGCTTTTAATTGGTCAAATTATGTTTTTTTCTTCATATTTTGTGTCTAATCGGGTGAAAAGGAAATGATATGTTCAACCGATTGAGTTTTCGTTCGCCTTGCTCTTCTTACATAGTCTGTGAAATAGACGTCAATTAGTGGTCACGACATCGAGCAACTTGGAAAAAAAGGCCATATGTAGATAATGAATGACTATAACACTGAATTATTTGCGAGCGATGTCTGCGTCCATGAGAAATTCCGAAGCTACTCATTATTAGTAATATAAACCCTTATAAATAATGGGGGTATCTCATTTTCTAATAATCATTCATTAATAAATTGTCATGTGTTGTTACAACAACTTCTTCTCGTTGTTATTTGAAATTTTTTGCAAAAAGAGGTGTGCACTGCAATTGTAGAGCTTTGTTGTTTTTTTAAACAATTATGTTCAAGAACATTGAATATCAATGATTTAGAGAAGCTGGAAGAAGGGATTATTATAATTTTATGTAAACTAGAACGAATTTTCCCACCGGCATTTTTTGATGTAATGGTTCATTTAGCTGTTCACCTACCTGAAGAAGCAAAACTTGGAGGTCCCGTTGCATTTAGATGGATGTACCCAATTGAAAGGTAATTGCTAATATTGCATACATATATACTTGTTCATTGACTTATTATTTTCAAAACTTTTTATGCAATATTTGATGACAGAATATTAGGTCAATATAAGAGTTATGTTAAGAATAAAGCTCGACCCGAAGGATCAATTGCTGAAGCATATATTTTTAATGAGTCTTTGAATTTTTGTTCGATGTATCTCAACAACATTGAAACAAGATTTAATCGACTTGAGCGTAATTACGATGGTGGTACTTCACCTACAAGCTTGTCAGTCTTCTCTCAAAATACTAGACTTAGATCACGCAGAACCAAAATTACTTTCAAAGCAAGAAATTGATAAAAGCGCATTGGTATGTCCAAAATAATTGTGATGAAGTTCGACAATATTTAGAATAAGTTCTTAATCAACTTTTAAATTGTTTTGCTATTAATTATTAATGTGTTGTAGTATTTAATTGCATCTCCTTCTTTAGTGAACACATGGAGAATTTGCAACAACAAAATCACAGCAATTTGGAAAAAAAACAAGAAGAATTGTTTCCCGGATGGTTTGCTTCACATGTAAGTTATAATGCATGTCTTATTTATTTATTAAATCAACTTAACATCCGTATCTGAAGGTATATTGATTAATATGTTTTTATTAGCAAAAATAACGAGATTATATAATCAAAAAGATTCAAGTGTAAGCAAAGAATTATATGCATTAGCATGTAAACTGGATTTCAAAATATTTTCCTATTCGGGTTGTATTGCTAATGGGGTAAGATTCCTTGTTAAAGATCGAGATGATTATCGTACAACACAAAATAGTGGAGTGATAGTGCCGGGAGATGAGAACATAAACTTTTTCGGTATACTGTGTGATGTTATTGAGTTGGTATATGTTTTTGACTATCGCATCACTTTGTTCCAGTGTAATTGGTACGATAATAATTCAAAGCAAAAAAGAACAGTGGTATCTTATCGCTTACTTCTATGAATGTAAATCGCAAATGGTACATGGATGATTCTTATATACTTGGCATCCAAGCACAACAAGTATTTTATATGGAAGATCTTTTATTGGGTCCACAGTGGAAGGTAGTGGAAAAGGTACAACACAGAGGCATATGGAACATTCCTGAAAAAAATGATGGTGGCAGTGAGCAAGTAATATTTCAGGAAAATGAATCATCAGTATTGTCCTGCCAATCCAACAGGAAGATTTTGACTCTCAAGTATGCCATAGAGGAGATGTTGATCCAGATATTATTGAAAACGAAGCAATGCAAATAGGTGTGGAATCAATAAATAAAAATATGAATAATGTTATATATGATACTTCGGAAGAGGAAGATGATACATTGAATGAATATTATAGTGAAGATGAGAAATCTCTAGATTGTAACGACGACGACGATGATGATGATGATAGTGATATTGATAAGTAAAACATTATTTATATGTGTGTGTCTGTGTGTGTGTGTGTTTTTTTTTTTTGTGTAATGTTTTTCTATTTTATTTTTTAATGATTACATTTTTCCCTTTTCTCTACAGATTCGAGTACTGACAATACATCAACCAATAGTTGATAAGAATTTTTATTCACAATTCAGGTTAGACTAATCAACTAATGAGATATATTTGATTGTTTATTGTGATGGTTGTTGATCTTGTGTTAATATTCAATGTGAAATATTTGTCATATTTTCTTTAAGTTAATATTTCATTACCTTTTATATGTACATGGTTGACTAAAGTTATGGAGCTTTTCTTTACAGGAATTCACATTTAACCAAAGAACATATTGATGGTCAGTTGGAAGCATATCTTAAGAGTGAAAAATGTTATTTGGGTGTCTCGTGAGTTTTTGTTATTTCTTCCATATTTCTTGTTCTATTTTTTAATTTTTAAGTTTGGTAAATCATTCTAAGTAGTTCGACATTGAAATTACTAGTACTATAGTTTATTTGTATTTGTTTTGATTTTGGAGGTAACCAAGTTTGTAGATAATACCTTGATCTATATTTATTTGGTTGTTGTTGATATGGTTTTTTTTTCCTAGTTTGATATCAATTATATTTTAATAATTGTAGTTAAAGCATGCTCTTCATAAAGTCACGAGTTATTTCTAGTTAAGCAAGTTAAATTTTTATATAAATATACACCACAATAACGATTCCATTGCCATGAAAGAAATCGAAAATTGTGTTTAAAATAGAATCTACGACATACGTAAACAAAAATAAAATCAATTAGGCGACAATTGTACATGCTTGAAGCGACAAACCCTGTGTTGCGAAATAAATTTAACTACGAGCACAACTTGACACAAAAATAAAAGTTCATTGTCACAAAATACTTTTCGTAATAACATTTTGTGTCGTAAAATAAAATATGTGACGTATATAAATAATCACGAAATAAATTAGGCAACAACTATACTCGTTGCACAAATGATGGTGCAATAGACAATTAGTGTTGCGAAATATATTTAAATACAAACATCACTCGTTACATAATATATTGTACTACAAATATTGAATATATTAAAATACATTATGCGACATATCAAATACATTGTAGAACATATTTCACAACAAACATTACTTGTTATTAAAAATATATTACTACGGGCATGTGTTGTCGCAAGATAAAATAGGTAGCAAAAGTTACACCTTTAAAAGAATATTTGCAACAAATATGTTTCTCGTAAAACTTTTATTGGAATAATTGTTGCAACAAACTACAGTGTTGCCCTTTTATTTTTTCGCGACATATACGCATCGCGAGGACATTATAGTTACAAATATCGTGTTGCTGTTTCATATTTTTTGCGGCAAATAAATAATGTTGCGATCTTATTAGTGCGATGAATAGTTGAAAGTAGCCGCAAAATATATTCAGTGACTCAACATTCGCAACAAACATATTTCACGTAAAAACTTTATTGAAATATTCGTTGCGACAAACAGACTTGTCGCCCTTTAAATTTTTTGCGACATATATACATTGCGACGACATTATGGCTACAAATATTGTGTCGCCATTTCGTATTTTCTGCATCACACAAATAGTGTTGTGATTTTGTTAATGCAATGAACTGTTGAAAGGTGTCGCAGAACACATTCCACGACTCATATAGAGCGACAAAACCCGCAACAAACGTATTATCGTCGCTAAATTACTTTTGCAACAAAATCTCATTTTTTGCGACAACATTTTTTTGTCGCGAAATCGATTATTTTTTGTAGTGAGCTGACATAATTGTAAATTCAATATTTGTTTTC